ATTAAGCAATTTTAAATTGCCAATCTACCATGCATCCATATGCATATCTATGTCTTACTAAATAAAAAGGGATAGAGATATAGGCTTGCTCTTTGTGTCATCTAGAAACATTTATTATAGGTTCCTGTCAATAATCTTTCACACTTCCAAAATCTGACAAGTTTGGCAATAGGAAGAAAATGGAGGAAATGTAGACGAAAGACTTTCTATCATTTTGAAAATTGCTTTATAAAGATTGCAATATCCCCTCTAGGATCTTGTGAGGGATCCTTCACAGTCTAAAGCAAGTGAAGTTTGATAACAGCACAATTCTATTCTAATTTTTGCTCTTACTTTCAATATCCTAACTTTTTCCAGCTTCATATAATTTTGGAAAATATGTGATGCTTTTGTAAGGAAAAGAAATTCTTGAATGCCTTTCTTTACCTTCATTTATCTGTGTTTGTTTCATGTATCTTGAAGAATCAGGTGTTGATCATTCTAGAAGTCTTGTGGCATGCTCCAATTTGGAGTGATTGAGGAACTTTTTTTGCAATTTAGGGGGAAGAAGGAAACATTTTTTTTTTAATTGGCTTATACCAGTCTCCTTACTCTATAGTTCTCAGTTGTCTTGTGTTAGGGGATAAATATCAATAAAATTTCATCTTACCAGATTGCACCAGCTTTGTCCTACACGTTGGAATTTTATTTTTGGCTTTTAAAATCAGAAACTTTTCTTGGGTTGCCGTACTTCTTCTCTTTAGTTTATGTGCCTCTTACCACATCACTGATATGGTCTCTTTTACCGCAGTATGGTCACTGCTGTGGGCGCTTTCAGTGGAGAAGGCTGGGAGGTTAGGATCCGGAGGAAACATAACAAAAAAGGGAGAAAAAAACCCCCTTCATTTGGCCAAATCTGGCTCTTAATATATTTAACCACTTCCAGAATTAGAAAGCCTTTCTGTACGTTTTCTTCTGTTTTTCTCTTTTTTTCCTTACGTAATGAAATTAAAACTTTTGGAGCCCACAGTTGACATTTTTCAGAAAATTGAGTTATCAAGGCAGTAATTATTTCACGGGGAGATAAAACTCATAGCCCTAACTGTCAAATAGGGCCCTTTTCAGATTTTAATTACAAAATAAAATTAGTCTGCTCTTCCTCGGAATGGCTTGTGAGTGGTTAAACAGAGCTTTCCCCCCAATACTGGTGGTCGTCAAACTCTGCTAATTAGCAATGCTGAGAAATTCCAGTTAACAAGGACATTCTCCAAGACTCTGCAGGTTCCCTGCCGTTTGCCTTCATTTCCATAAGAAGATTAAGAGAGGAGGGGAACACACTCAAATGCAGATGCAGAAAAGAAGCGTTTTTTAACAAGCATCATAATAGTAAGATGCTTGGCTAGTTCTCACCTAATTACTGCAAGTTAAACCTCTATTTGCCACTAAGAAGAAAAAATAAGTCTACAGTCCCCTATCTCCACAAAATTGTTAGTTGCCTTCAGATATAATACTTGGGGAGGGATGAGGGGAGTTTAGGAGAGAAATACCAGTGCAAAAGATAAAACTGAGCTACACTTAATCAGTTAAGGGTTTTTGGCTAGGGCCTATATAATAGAGCAAAATTAAATCAGAATATCCTAGGAGTTAGGCATTTTTGTTCCTAATTTCTAATCTTGCTCTAAAAGGATGCAGCTTTTTGCTGCCCATGAAAGGGAAATGTTATACTTCCTTTAGATTAAGCACTTTAAATTTTCATACATTGTGCCAATGGCAACATTTTTAAAATCTTGAAGGATGAAGCACCCTCTTCCAAGTCTTATTTTGATTCCCTAGTAGTCAATGGTGCATTGTTATTAGTACTGTAGCCATCTGTTATAAACCTAAAACTGTGCTGCTTCTATCATCTATTGTGATTATTATAGTTATTATTATATTTGGGGCCAGTGATAGTGCCGGATTGAAATAGAGTGGCCGGTGATCTGATTTTTTTTATGCATATGTTCTAAAAAATCTAATGAGAAAATTGTTTCTGCTATCACCATCTTCTTTAATCTTATTTTCATAGCACATTATTATGCATAAATGCCAGCCACAGTTAGTTTATTGCCTTGATAAGTACAGCAGGCTTAATTAAAATAAAGCTGTAAATAAATGCAACCAATGATAACACAATTGTAATGTATTTCCATAGCTTATTTATATGATAAAAGCAATTAACAAAAGACCTAGCCAGCCCCTTTAACCTCTTAAATGCATTATTATAGAGTTCGGGCACAAACAGGCATCTGAGAATGTATAAAAGCTTTTATATATTATCCCAAGGAAAAATTTGTGCCTCTTCCTACTACCCCTTGAGAGAGAGGGAGATTAAAAAACTTGCTACTGTAACCATTCGTTATTAAAATATTTATTTTAATACATATACTCCACCATTATCCACATCAACCCCTTGGGTTATTTTTCTTCAGACTTAATTATCCATAAGCTTTTTTAAAGTTTTCGGAATAATGCTACTAAGCACAGACCAATGCATACACAATCATGAAGTGAATGCTTGGTCTGCCCTTCGTGGCATCTGGACAATCACAATTCATTCATATGTTGAATCTCATAATTTGTACCTATTTTTTCCCATAGTTTAACCTCCTACTTATCTGGAGGTTATATGTACATTTCTAAGTTAAGCAAATTAAATCTGATTCTTATGATTTGGTTCCATGGCTTATATGATATGTTAACTTTTCTTTTGTTTAGGTTATGTGTAATTAGTTGGATCTTCCTCCCATTCCCCTCATTTTTTTTCCCTTTATTTCCAAACACCTTCTTTTAAAGGTAAAAGCAAAACTGTAGTCATGGAAAAGCGAATCCACCAGTAGGGGGCGCACCAGCTACATCCCTGAAACCAGACGCGCTGAAAAGCCAGCCTGTGGCTGCCGTGTTGTCTTCTGAGCCTCTAACCTTTTCTCCTTCCTCATGTCCATGTCTGTTTTTAGCTTAATAAACAGAAGACATTATTTTGTTTTGAAGAGTGCCATATATTTATCCGTTTCGAGGAGGGCAGTCTCACTCTTCCCGGGTTCCCGAGAACTAAAACAAACCATAACTTGGAGAAAAAGAAGAAACTGATGGGGGAGGGGCGGCTGACTGGAAATAATAATTTATAAAGAAAAGGATTCTTTTTCTCAACTTTTCTGGCTTTCCAGTGAGCATACTTATTTTGAGTTGGACAGGAACAGAAAAGCCTGGGAGGGCAGGGATTGGAGAAGTTGGAGGGGGGTGGTGATGGTTATGGGAAGAAGGTTAGTAAGGAACAAAACAATGCAAAGTTTTGTAAAGATAATAAATGGAACGTGGCCGACAGATACTATTCAGTACATTTTCTTAGGGTGAGTAAGGGTAGATAGATCAGGGGAGGAGGGGGCGGAGAGAGTGTTACAGAAGAAAGAAAATAAGTAACCCTGATGGTTTAAGCCCTTTATAAAAAAGAAATGGCATCAGGTTTTTTTTTTCCCCCCACCCCCCACCCCCACCCTTTGTAGTCAAGTGCATTTTAGCCACAAAGATCCCAACAAGAGAGTGGAAGGAAACTTAGACGGGGCTTTGTTTGACTCCGTGTAGCGACAACAAGAGAAACAAAACTACCTATTTGTAACGGACGTGCTGCCATTGCTCTCCGCATTGAGCGCCTACCTATTGAAATCTTTACGTCAGGACAATGGGAGAGCGGCTAAAATTACCCTCTTGGGTCCTGGGCGGGCAGGATTCCTGAGCCCCTACCCCCGCCTCCATCCCATCCTCCTCCAGCCTCGGCCTTGCTGGGCTCCCCCCATGACCCGTCCTGGCCGTCTTCTTCCTGCCTGCACCGCCTGCACCTGTGCCTGGGGAGCACCACACCCGCCTCCCAGGCCTGGCGCCCCCTCCGAGCGCTGCCCCAGACCCGGGCGGCGCGGGCAGAGCGGCCACCACAGTACAAGTCACAAGGGGAATGGCAGGGCTGGTTCTGCTCGAGTCCTGGGAACTCTGCGTGGGAGGGAGTTTGTGAGTGCGGCCCAAATGCCACCTCCATACTGTGCCGTGGGATGCCAGGAAGTTGACGTTACGCTGCTCCGTAGCCTGCGCTTCTGAGCTGCTTCTCTGGATCTTTTTCTTCCCCCAGCCTCCTTTTGAAACCGGCCCAACTGAAATCCTGCTTTGGGGGAGGCGCAGGGGGAGAATGGGGAGAGAGGACGAGAGTGGCGGCATCCTCTCTCCATCGACTGAATGGAGAAAGATGGTGGGCGACGTGGCTGGGGGTAAGGGGACAAGCTATGGTGTCCCGGCCCGAGCTGAGCTGGGCAGGGAAGAGCCGGCTCGCCGCAGCTTCCCCAGGCCCGGCCTCCCCTTAAGTGTAGAGTCGGCCGCATAGTCCAAGCAGGATTTACGCTTAAAACAGAGCAAACTGCGTGGCAGCAAGGAGGGTTTTGAGGACAGAGCTTTCGCTCCTAACTTCTTGTTGGGACTGTGTGAGAAAGGGGTGAGCCAGTGCAGGCACCTGTGGAGGAAGAGGGGCGAGGGGAAGAGCGACGTTAAGGAGAAGCACCGGAGAGGCTGGAGTTGGGGAGAAGCGTGCGGAGGAGCGAGAGAACAATGACACACCAACTCCTGCACCGTCTGCTTCCTGAAATACTAGTAGGACAGTCGCCCTGAACCACCCACTCTGCCCTGCCCCACCCCACCACCTTAGCGGCTTCTCGCGCCCCTTCCTCAACTCAGCGGCCTGCACCAAAAAGTAAATCAATACTAAGTTTGAAGAAGAAAAAAAATCGTAGTCTTAGTGCTGTTTACCCACTTCCTTCGAAAAGGCGTGTGGTGTGACCTGTTGCTGCGAGAGGGGATACAAAGGTTTCTCAGTGGCTGGCAGGCTGGCTGTGGGAGCCGCCTCCCCCTCCCTCCTTCCTTCCCCCTCCTCCCCCTGCCTCCCCCGCGCGGCCTGCGGCGCGGCAGGCCCCGCCCCCTTTCATGCAAAACCCGGCGGCGAGGCTGGGCTCGAGTGGAGGAGCCGCTGCGCGCTGATTGGTCGCTGGAAACCCATTTATTCCCTGACAGCCCCCATCACATGGATGGTTGTCTATTAACTTGTTCAAAAAAGTATCAGGAGTTGTCAAGGCAGAGAAGAGAGTGTTTGCAAAAGGGGGAAAGTAGTTTGCTGCCTCTTTAAGACTGGGACTGAGAGAAAGAAGAGGAGAGAGAAAGAAAGGGAGAGAAGTTTGAGCCCCAGGCTTAAGCCTTTCCAAAAAATAATAATAACAATCATCGGCGGCGGCAGGATCGGCCAGAAGAGGAGGGAAGCGCTTTTTTTGATCCTGATTCCAGTTTGCTTCTCTCTCTCCTTTCTTCCCCCAAATTATTCTTCGCCTGATTTTTCTCGCGGAGCCCTGCGCTCCCGACACCCCCGCCCGCCTCCCCTCCTCCTCTCCCCCCGCCCGCGGGCCCCCCAAAGTCCCGGCCGGGCCGAGGGTCGGCGGCCGCCGGCGGGCCGGGCCCGCGTACAGCGCCCGCATGTACAACATGATGGAGACGGAGCTGAAGCCGCCGGGCCCGCAGCAAACTTCGGGGGGCGGCGGCGGCGGCGGCGGCGGCGGCAACTCCACCGCGGCGGCGGCGGGCGGCAACCAGAAGAACAGCCCGGACCGCGTCAAGCGGCCCATGAACGCCTTCATGGTGTGGTCCCGCGGGCAGCGGCGCAAGATGGCCCAGGAGAACCCCAAGATGCACAACTCGGAGATCAGCAAGCGCCTGGGCGCCGAGTGGAAACTTTTGTCGGAGACGGAGAAGCGGCCCTTCATCGACGAGGCCAAGCGGCTGCGAGCGCTGCACATGAAGGAGCACCCGGATTATAAATACCGGCCCCGGCGGAAAACCAAGACGCTCATGAAGAAGGATAAGTACACGCTGCCCGGCGGGCTGCTGGCCCCGGGCGGCAACAGCATGGCGAGCGGGGTCGGGGTGGGCGCCGGCCTCGGCGCGGGCGTGAACCAGCGCATGGACAGCTACGCGCACATGAACGGCTGGAGCAACGGCAGCTACAGCATGATGCAGGACCAGCTGGGCTACCCGCAGCACCCGGGCCTCAACGCACACGGCGCCGCGCAGATGCAGCCCATGCACCGCTACGACGTGAGCGCACTGCAGTACAACTCCATGACCAGCTCGCAGACCTACATGAACGGCTCGCCCACCTACAGCATGTCCTACTCGCAGCAGGGCACCCCTGGCATGGCGCTTGGCTCCATGGGCTCGGTGGTCAAGTCCGAGGCCAGCTCCAGCCCCCCCGTGGTTACCTCTTCCTCCCACTCCAGGGCGCCCTGCCAGGCCGGGGACCTCCGGGACATGATCAGCATGTACCTCCCCGGCGCCGAGGTGCCGGAGCCCGCCGCCCCCAGCAGACTTCACATGTCCCAGCACTACCAGAGCGGCCCGGTGCCCGGCACGGCCATTAACGGCACACTGCCCCTCTCGCACATGTGAGGGCCGGACAGTGAACTAGAGGGGGGGGGGGGAGAAATTTTCAAAGAAAAGCGAGGGAAATGGGAGGAGAGTAAGAAACAGCATGGAGAAAAACCCGGTACGCTCAAAAAAAAAAAAAAAAAAAAAGTCATCACCCGCAGCAAATGACAGCTGCGAAAGAGAACACCAATCCCATCCACACTCAAGCAAAAACCGCGATGCCGACGAGAAAACTTTTATGAGAGATCCTGGACTTCTTTTTGGGGGACTATTTTTGTACAGAGAAAACCAGGGGGGTGGGGTGGGGAGGGCGAGGGAATGGACCTTGTATAGATCTGGAGGAAAGAAAACTACGCAAAACTTTTTAAAAGTTCTAGTGATACGGTAGGAGCTTTGCAGAAAGTTTGCAAAAGTCTTTACCAGTAATATTTAGAGCTAGTCTCCAAGCGACGAAAAAAATGTTTTAATATTTGCAAGCAACTTTTGTACAGTATTTATCGAGATAAACATGGCAATCAAAATGTCCATTGTTTATAAGCTGAGAATTTGCCAATATTTTTCAAGGAGAGGCTTCTTGCTGAATTTTGATTCTGCAGCTGAAATTTAGGACAGTTGCAAACGTGGAAAGAAGAAAATTACTCAGATTTGGACATTTTAATTGTTTAAAAAAATTGTACAAAAGGAAAAATTAGAGTACTGGCAAAACCATCTCCGTGGTCTTCTTTAAAGGGACAAAAGTTTTAGATTGTACTAAATTTTTTTTTAACTTACTGTTAAAAGCAAAAATGGCCATACAGGTTGACATCGTGGTAATTTATAATAGCTTTTGTTTCCCAACTTTCCATTTTGTTCAGATAAAAAAAAAAACAACCCAACAACATAAATTACTGTGTTTGAAATATTTTCTTATGGTTTGTAATATTTCTGTAAATTTATTGTGATATTTTAAGGTTCCCCCCCCCTTTATTTTCCGTAGTTGTATTTTAAAGATTCGGCTCTGTATTATTTGAATCAGTCTGCCGAGAATCCATGTATATATTTGAACTAATACCATCCTTATAACAGGTACATTTTCAACTTAAGTTTTTACTCCATTATGCACAGTTTGAGATAAATAAATTTTTGAAATATGGACACTGAAATTATGCTTGAGTCTTTCATTTATTTGGATAACACTGATATATACATAACTCCTCGGGGTATATACTGTGCTCAGCCAAGAAAGCAGAATACCTAAAACCTTGATATTTTAGTCCAATAGCATGTGCTAATGTTAATTGCAACAAATAAATGTCTGAATGATTAATTGAATAAGTACTCTCAAAAAATTGAAATGCTTATATCATTTCTAAAGAAGAAACTAGAGGCATATATTGTAAATCCACCCCCTCCTTTTCTAAGCAGCATGAATAAGCATGATGGGGACTTATACTTAAAACTGATTTATGCCACTTGTTGCCAGGAAGAAGGAGTCAATTCTGAAAATTTTCATGTAGCTCAGCAGATGGGGTATTGAGCCAAATCAGAACCAGGTTGGCTGGTTTTGTTTTCGTTTTCCTCAATGCACAATGGCCCTTTGGAAACCTGGTTATAGGGGAAAATGATGCTTCTTGTATCGGAATAATTGCAAACTAGACATGCAAAGTGCTCATCTGCTGGGTGGGTGTTTGGATTACTTCAGTCCTGCTATTGTTTGAGAGGAAACAAGTGGTTTGCTTTCTTTGTTCCTTGGCTTCATAAACTTTCTCTTCTACATTTTCCTGTTTAGGGGCGAGGGAAAGCAAAGAGCGCCTTACGAACCCCCCCCCGACTTATCACGGCTATTTTTTATTATTATTATTTATTTTCTTTTTTCCTCTCTCTCCCTCCACGTATTCCATTTCTTAAATTGGCAGCGCGGGTCCAAGCCTGTAGTCCCAAATCGGATATCTCTGCAGCTGATAACGAGCAAAAGAGAAGCCAGGCAACAGCCATATTAAAGAAGAAAACAATCAACTCTGAGGTAGATATTTTACTTTGTCCGGTCTAATCACATTTGGAGATGATTATGCTTTTGATCTGTTAACCATGTTTTACTACAGTGGTAGAGAAGTAGGGGGAGGGGAAAGGGGTGGGGAAACAAGATTGGATTTGTTGTTTTCTTTTGCCCTAGGAAAGGTAAAGAAAGACTATAGTTGTCCTCAGTGGGAGCGGAAAAGTTGGGGAATCGCCATGGTCTTTGAATTAGCGATGTTTCTACATCACAACCGACCCGCGCTTTGGCGCAGCCGGAGAATCTGTAGGACCGACTCAGGGACTTTTCTTCCTTATTTACTGCTTACCTCGCTCAACTTCCCCGACCAAAGGGGACCAGGAACCACGAGTCAGGCATTTTTAAGAGCGTGGGTTGCTACCCACAATTTCAAGGGCTTGTTGTGTCAACTTGCTACAACTTTGGAGAAGTTGGAATCCGGCAGCGCCTTCCACCCTTGAGTAAAATACCGGCTGCAGCCACTAAGTTAGCTCAACCCGTTGGTTTGCACTTTCTCGTTTTCCAAGAAAGTATTTCTCTCTCGTGGTGTTGCTAATGTTAGTTCTGGGCTCAGCTGGAGATATCCTCATATTTTCTGTATTTTTATTTCATGTGGTTTGCTTTATTTTTGGTGTGTATTGGTTTTCAATTTCTTTTTTAAAAATTCATTTTAGGGTAAAGGACAATTATTATGCCAGTTCCCAATTCTAAGCGAGGCATTTCCCCCCCTAATTAATGCAGAGACTCTAAAAGAATTTCCCCCGGCCTGGCCAGCCATTGTAATGCATATACGGATTATTCACGTGGTAATGAGCACATTCGCCAGTTCTTGCTCACACATACGAATAAAAGAAACTTTGAATAAAGATCCAAATGATCTTGCTGGGGGGTGGGGAGGATATTCCCGGAATTTGAGCCAATCAACTATATGGAGCGTATATATTTGAAAAAAATAGAGCTATATTAGAAATATGTATAGGGCTTAGAGTAATTGCACTGCATTAGGCTCCCTTAAAAAACAAAACAAAACAAAAGAGCCCACAGGATCATACTAAAAAAAGCAACAACTTTTTGGCAAAATGCTCAAGTTCAAATATTTTGCAAGAGGGAAGAGAGCAATTTTAGGAAGTTGAACTAGTTTTGAGTGATTGTCACTGTCTGCCTAAAACAAGAGAACTCCCATTTTCCCTCCTATCCCTCCATATCTCCTACCTAAATGAAAGCCAAATGATTTTGCTCGCAAATATAAATTCTTTTGATAAACTGCATTTGAGGAAAATGTCATATATTTTATTGTTTATTTGATTGGGCTAAATGATTCCCCAAGATGTGCAGTTTCATGACTAGATTAATATTGAACATACAATATTTTAATTATAATATGATTTCCAAGAAGGGGGTAAACCCATAAACTTGCCCAGAGATGGTTATCTCTCAGTGCTGAAGTTAGTTGTTGAAATGTTCAGTTCCTTCCTTGGGATATTATTCTGTTCACAAAAACCATTCAATTTCCAGTCAAAGGAGTGAATTTAATGTTTTGTTAACCTTATACATGGAATGGAAATGTGTAGTAGGATGAGATTATAGTTTGTTCCCTCTGCAATTTTTTCTTTCCCCGCACCCCCGCCCCCTACTTTAAATAAAGAGCGTTAAAATATTTTGCTGAGCTGTAGTAGATTAGCAAGGTTTCTTGCCAATGCTGGGAAGCTGGTATTACAGACGGTCCCAGGGGAAAATGGCTCACATTAACCACTAAATGAATATTTGACAAGGGCTCATTCGGAGGTATTATTACTATAAACGTGTCCCTACTGGACTTTTCCAGGGTCAAAGAGCAACGCTTCAATTAATTATTTAGTCTGCTAGTAGATTTGGTTGTAATAGCTGTACTTATTTCTAGAACCGACACATTCTTACAGTAGGAAATCTCAGGAGAATCTTCTCCATCAGCCATGCCTTGGATTGAAATACACACAGAGCCCTGGCATTCTAAATCTGACTTTTTCATAAAACCTTTTCCTGGGCTGAGAGTTGGGGGGATAGTTTCTTTTTCTATTTCATTTACTGGCTTTGTTTTAAAAGAAAAAAAAAAACATAAGAAGTTACCTTAGATTCTCCATCATGTCTGGAAAGGTCTTTTAGGGCCTTGCAGTTTGGGAAGAGAGGGGAGGGGATTTATTTATAACCTTTGCCTTTTCTAAGTGGAGATGTCACAGGATTTCAGAGACTCAGCCAGGTTCTGAATTTAGAAGGACACACATTTGCTGTTTGCCAATAAAATTCGGGTTTTAAAATGGAAGTCTCCATAGGCTGAGTACTCTGAGTTCTAGTAGTCTCAGAGTAAATTGGGGTACAAGATAGTCCCTCCTTCCCTCCCCACCTACTGGTTTGAACATTTCCAGGTGTAGTGGGGTGAGGGGGGGGACGGGCAAGTGTTCCATTTCTGCTCTGTCATAAGTTCCTCTGGGGCCCTGGGTAAAATGGTAAGGGAATGATTTTGAGAGTAAGATTCCTTGACAATAATATAAGGTGAATGAATAAGAGATAAGCTGCAAGGGGTGGGGGGACGGGATGCAGTAATTACAAACCCAATTCATTCAGCTTTTCAGAACTTTTGTTGTGGGAGCTCCATTGACGGGTTTTGAGCCGCCAGTTTTCTCACATTAAAAAGAACTGATCAGCGCCTCAGGGGGACAAGAAATACCGCTTAACTGCATAGTGATTGGGTCTTCATTTAGAACCCTTACAAGAAGAAATTTAAACAGTGCCTTTGTGTGCACAGGTTTACTTTTCAACTGCTAACAGTTTATAGCTAACTGCTTTGAGATTGAAGTTTGACTGTGGTTTGATCGCCTGCTTGTTGGCGCTGCTTATTTATTTATTTATTTATTGTAATGAAAAGAGCTTTTTATATCCTCCCCCCTTTATTTCTTGCTCTTGGAGAATTTTGCAAAACAGGTCCTCATATTTTGCTTTCTGGAAGGAGTTTCTTTCGCCTTGAGCCTTAGCAGAGACTTGAATTAACACTTCTCCAACACTTTGCACCTCCCCCCTCCCATTATTGCCTTAAAATAATTTGCATCTCACTCTATTATTATTATTATTTTTAATGCTGCCTTTTCTTGCTTTCAGAGCAAAAACTGCTTTGGACAGCTACAAGGGAGGTTGAGGATGAGGGTTGATTTATTTCTTTTCTTTGCGCCTTTTTTTTTTTTTTTTTTTTACTAGAGTTGGAAGATGGTTGGGTGGATTTCTTTAGGGACCTCGTCTATGAGGTGGATCCCTTAAAGACAAGAGAAGGGGAAGAAACACTTGAACTTTACTGTGAAAATGTGGATAAAATCCAAAGGGACACAGCCTCTGGAGTTCTAGAGTAAGCAGCTGTGGAAGGAGCTTTCCAAAGACAGAGAAATTGCCCAAACCAGAGAATTTGTTTGGTGGCTCTCATAGTTATTTTCTATTAAAAAACTTCTCTGAAAACCTGCTTCTGATATCACCCAGGGAGACTTGTAACTGCTGTTCCTTCTCACAGTGCTGTCCAGTTTTACAATTCTTGTTTTCAGTTTTTATGTTTTGCTTCTGTAGCCTTCAGGAAATAATGGTCTTGACTTTCTTATTCTAACTGTGAGATCCTCTGGGAGGATGGCTTGCTAAGACAAGGCTAAGATTTCCCATGGCAGAGAGCTCTCTTTCTGTATGCAGGTCTAGATGGATTTTATTTTATATTTTGGTGTGTAATGGTTCTATTTCCGATTCCCTGAGTGGTGTACTCAGTTTCTCTTCAAAAGCAAGTAGAACGTCCTCTCATTTCAGGATGCAAAGATATTTGCTGCTTCTGGGCTTTTGGACTTGAGATGCTTGCTCTACTTTGCAAAGAAGTGTCAGGTGATTTAAAAGCTTCAAGGAGTCGTTCGTTACATTACCCTCGTCTGCCTGCGTGCACAGAATGAAGTGTGCACTGTTAGGAAAGATTTCGGCGCTTTGAACTATCATTTGCCTTCCTCCCTTGGGTTTCGGTGCGGGGCGCGACGCAGGGCCGGGAGCGCGCGGGCCTCCCCCCCGCCTGCCCTGGGGAGCCCGCCGCAGCCCGCGCCGGAGCCGAGGCGCGGGCAGATGGAAGCGGAGGCGGGCAGGCGCCGGCCGCGGACCTGACGTCACCGTGGCCCTAGCCAAGGCCCCCATGGGGCTCCCTGGGAAGGTGCTGCGTAGGGCTCGAGTTTTCTCCGCCCGGACCCTGCCAAAACGGCCCGATTTCCTCTCTCAGCCCTGGACGGTCCCGTGTCGCGCCAGTCTGCAATGCCTCCCGAGGTGTTTCAGGCCCTTGCTTCTCCAGAGTTCTCTCCGTCCTGCACCCCAGCCCTAGCCCTCTCCATGTTGACCTCGTGACCCCAAAGATGGTTCTAGGCCCCAGACTTCCCCAGTCAGAGACTGTTCGACTCAAGTCTTGCTTTCCTCTGGCCTCTCACCGCAGGCCTTTACTTTTAAAAGGTTGTTTGTCCTTGTTTGGTGCCAAGGCTCAGCATTAGTAATCGAGCTCTCAGTACTTTCCGAAGCCAGGGGCAGTGGATCGGCATGGCTGTGGGGAAGCTATAGGAGCGTTTTGGGCTTCCCGGAATATTGGGCCCCTCTAGGATCAGAGTAGGTAGGAATGGATGGTGCATCCATCTTCCATTTGTAAAATAGGGATAATACTTCTTTACCTGGCAGAAGATGAGTACAAAGCCACTGACACAAAATAGGATTCACTGATAGCTATTACTTTTCTTACTGGCCAGCGGAATTAGGTGGTAGGGAAGGCAAGAGATTCCCATTTTGGACTCTAGAGATAATACAGAAATTCGGGTCCCCTTTCTGGCCTTAGGAGGTGAAATTAGCCTTGTTCAGACCACCCTGCTTCCTTTGCCAGTTCTCTTCCTGGCTTAGGGTTCGCCTAGGAAGTTATCAGGCAAACTTGCCATCCCCGGGCATCTTCTTAAAGGGAGGGAGACCGG